TTACAGCAAAACGCTCTGCAGCCACATTCACCGACAGTCACCCCTTCTGAGCGATGATGGGAAGCCCTTAAAGGGGAACTCCACTCATAAAACGCAATTAGTGTAAAGAGAAATGGAACCAGCTGCTGACAAGTCCTGTGCCTGATTATAATGATCAAAAGGCCAGTAATGTTGTCCTCTCTGTTAAAGCGATATTAAATCCCAAACCAAAAATGTCATATATGGCAGCTTACCAATCATTTGACGTTGTGGCTGCATTAGTTTTCTTTTTTGAGGCTTTTTTCCCCTCTGTTTTCACCTGGTGGTCTAGCCAGTAACACATCTCCTGCATTAGTGCGCCCCTACTCTGAAGGAAGGAGCACAGACAGCAGCATTGCCAGGCTGGGGGTGGGGGGGGGGGAGTGTTAGCAGATTTAGATACACTAACCCAGTGGTGGGCAACCTTTTTTTTCAACTGAGCCAAATCTCACCAAAACCACGATTGAAATTTATTTTGAGAGCCACATTTTTAAAACTGAAAATACATAGGATGGTACACTGTTTTTAGTTTCAATAAGTTTTTATAGTAATTCATCCCCCATAGTAATTCATCCCCCATATAGTAATTCATCCCCCATATAGTAATTCATCCCCCATAGTAATTCATCCCCATATAGTAATTCATCCCCCATATAGTAATTCATCCCCCATAGTAATTCATCCCCCATAGTAATTCATCCCCATATAGTAATTCATCCCCCATATAGTAATTCATCCCCCATAGTAATTCATCCCCCATATAGTAATTCATCCCCCCTATAGTAATTCATCCCCCATAGTAATTCATCCCCCATATAGTAATTCATCCCCCATATAGTAATTCATCCCATAGTAATTCATCCCCCATATAGTAATTCATCCCCCATAGTAATAATTCATCCTCCATATTAATTCATCCCTCATATAGTAATTCATCCCCCATATAGAAATTCATCCCCCATATAGTAATTCATCCCCCATATAGTAATTCATCCCCCATATAGTAATTCATCCCCCCTATAGTAATTCATCCCCCCTATAGTAATTCATCCCCCCTATAGTAATTCATCCCCCATATTAATTAATCCCTCATATAGTAGTAGTAAGTAAGTAGCAAGTAGTAAGCCAAGTCCCCCGTGTCAATTCACTTACCTTTGCTCCGCGCGTTCCTCTCGCCGTGTTCCCGCGCCGTTCCGGTCTTCAAGGCGGACTGTGAGAGGAGCCTAACTCCCCTCACGTTCGTCACTCTGCCCCGCCTACACACATCCTGACAGCCAATCACTGGCTATCAGGATGTGAGTGGCAGCGAGACTGGCCAATCATTGCATTTGCCCTGGCTGTTTTTTTTTTTTGGATCACGCTGCAGAGTCCCTGCCGCCAGAGAGGAGGGAGGGGAGCGGGCGCCCGGCACACAAGAGCCACATTAAAGCGTGTAAAGAGCCGCATGTGGCTCGCGAGCCGCGGCTTGCCGACCACTGCACTAACCAATTGAAGCCCATAAGCTCACTGCAGTTACACAAGCAGTTTTGCTCCTTTTGGGATAAAGGAATTATATAAACGTTGATCATTGTAAGCACCCCTGCCCAGGGGCGGACTGACAACTCATGGGGCCCCCGGGCAATAGGGGATCATGGGGCCCCTGTGTCCTTGCCCAAACTCAAAAAATCCGATGAAAAAGGTACCAGGGGCATCCCATGAGGCCCCCTACTGACCCCGGGCCCTTGGCACTGCCCGAGTTTCCAAATGGTCAGTCCACCCCGCCCCTGCCAATGACAAATGGTTTATCTCAACCCTCTAATAATATGATTGATTGACAACCTCAGCTTTGTTCCTCTGTGCTGTGTGAAGGGCAGAGGCGGACTGACAACTCATGGGGCCCCCAGGCAAAAGGGGATCATGGGGCCCCTGTGTCCTTGCCCAAACTCAAAAAAGCCTATGAAAAAGGTACCAGGGGCATCTCATGGGGCCCCCTACTGACCCCAGGCCCTTGGGCAGTGCCCGAGTTTCCAAATGGTCAGTCCGCCCCTGGTGAAGGGGATGTCTCTTCCCTCCAATCAGCTCTCACAGCTCTCCTCACTGATGTTACTTTAGCTCCCCGCCCCCTGCTTTTCAGAGCTGAGAGATCCTGTGTAGATTCTGCACTTTGAATGGATGTAGAGGAAAGATTGCCACAGATAAACAGGTACAACGTATGTAGGAGGATTTGTTTAATATCTCAGTATCACCTGAGGCCAGTCACTTCACTGGGTATATGGAAGGGTTTACAACCACTTTATTGCGGAGAGCTGTAAGGAAGGAGCAGCAAGCCAACCAAAGGAAAGAAATGTCCACCTCGCCTGGGATAACGTGCGTCCGGGGACAGGCAGATCCATCTCCGTCATTACCTGTGCCATCTGGTAGCCTCCCAGCCCAGGCCGCCTGTTGGGTGTCACAAGCTTTCCAAGAATGTTAATGTTGCTGGGAGGACACCAAACATGGAGGATCAGCTCAGGAACAGGACGCAGCCCCATCAGCAGCTGGAGATTACAGCACAACGCCGGGCCCTGGCCGGGGCCCCAGGAGTCACAATTCTGCCTGAAATGCAACAACTACAACAACCCAACCCAACTAATGTGTGTCTGAGAGGCCACAGAAATTCCAATACTGCCTTAGAACAGCTTCATCTCCTTTCTAAAGACAAAAACATTTTTTAAAATTTCTATATATAAATTACAGTATATTATTATAATATTATTGTGAGCCTCCATATTTGGGGCTTAGAAACCCCGGACCCTGCATTCACTATATCCGTCCCCCCGGACCCTGCATTCACTATATCCGCTCCCCCGGACCCTGCATTCACTATATCCGCTCTCCCCGGACCCTGCATTCACTATATCCGCTCTCCCCGGACCCTGCATTCACTATATTCGCTCCCCCCGGACCCTGCATTCACTATATCCGTCCCCCCGGACCCTGCATTCACTATATCTGGTCCCCCGGACCCTGCATTCACTATATACTGGTCTCCCGGACCCTGCATTCACTATATCCAGTCTCCCTGGACCCTGAATTCGCTATATCTGCTCTCCCCAGACCCGTCATTTACTATATTCGTTGCCTCGAACCCTGCATTCACTATATCCAGTCTCCCGGACCCTGCATTCATTATATCCATTCCCCCGGACCCTGCATTCATTATATCCATTCCCCCGGACCCTGCATTCACTATATCCATTCTCCCGGACCCTGCATTCACTATATCCATTCCCCTGGACCCTACATTCACTATATCCGGTCTCCCCGAACCCTGCATTCACTATATCTGTTCCCTCGGACCCCGCATTCACTATATCCAGTCTCTCCGGACCCTGCATTCACTATATCCAGTCTCTCTGGACCCTGCATTCACTATATCTGGTCTCCCCGGACCCTGCATTCACTATATCCGCTCTCCCCAGACCCTCCATTCACTATATCCAGCCTCCCTGGACCCTGCATTCACTATATCCGCTCTCCCCGGAACCTGCATTCACTATATCCGCTCTCCCTGGACCCTGCATTCACTATATCTGGTCTCCCCATACCCTGCATTCACTATATCTGGTCTCCCCTGACCCCGCATTCACTATATCCACTCTCCCCGGACCCTGCATTCACTATATCCAGTCTCTCCAGACCCTGCATTCAGTATATCTGCTGTCCCTGGACCCTACATTCACTATATCCGCTCTCCCCGGGCCCTGCATTCACTATATCTTGTCTCCCCGGACCCTTCATTCACTATATCCACTCTCCCCGGAACCTGCATTCACTATATCTGGTCTCCTCGGACCCTGCATTCACTATATCCGCTCTCCCCGGACCCTGCATTACTATATTTGGTCTCCCCGGACCCTGCATTCACTATATCCGGTCTCCCTGGACCCTGCATTCACTATATCTGGTCTCCCCGGACCCTGCATTCACTATATCCGTTCCCGGGAGTGTGCATTCTGGGAGGATGTCATATGACGTTCCTGACCCTTTCCAAAAAACGCAGCAGGTGAAAACGCGGAGATGGGAACCTGTCCCATAGGAAATCATGTTAAATGGACTGCTGTGCGTTCCTGCAAAGCGCAGCGGAAAATGCTTAGCTGTGAACCTGGGGTAAGGTGCTCTAGGGGGACACTGATCCCTGATTGTACTGCATCTATAGGGGGGCAGCATTGTCACCTTACAACAAAACTACAAAACACCTGCTTCTCTCCATAATTTAGAGGGGAGGTGTTCTGTAGTCCTCGGAGATAGGTGGGAACAATGTAACTGATACCAGTGCAGATGCATGCATACATTCTGTTCAATTTCTACCCAATCAGATTGAACCTCTCCCTGGGTAGTTGTTGGAAAACCTAAAGAAGATGACGCGATTGGTTGTAACGTGTCGGCAAGCTTCAGATCTAAAAATAACAAAAAAAGAAATCAAATGAAGAGGATTAAATGTCTGGATTGCAGGTGGATTGCTCAGCTACACTGCGACTTGTAAGAAGAGGAAGTCACAGTCCAGATTTAGGGCGCGTCGTAAAAGAGCGGTCAGCTTTTTGCGTCCTTGCGTCCCCTCGCCCCTTGGCATTTCTCCTGCGCTCTCTAGGCCAGCTTGGCAGACGCTCCCTTTTTCTTACACAGCACTTCACCAGCCCAGTAAAGTCTTCAGAGATCATGTGATTGGGTGGCCCAATGGCACGCCGCCTGAGGATGGGCTGCTGCGGTGTCACTTCTGGGAAGTGGGACCTTAACCTCCTGATATTCTCAGTGTGATGTCATTCCGGGGAAAAGGAGTTGAAGATACAAATACAATCCCCAAAGACAAGCCGGGACATGCTCTCCGAATGCGGCACCTAACGAAGCCGGACAATTGGTCAATCCATCATTGTTTGTATCCATTTGTATCTCTTTGTAGAGAATATATACCAGGGGCGGACATTTGGAAACTCGGGCACTGCCCGAGGGCCCGGGGTCAGTAGGGGGCCCCATGAGATGCCCCTGGTACTTTTTTGATAGGCTTTTTTGAGTTTGGGCAAGGACACAGGGGCCCCATGATCCCCTATTGCCCGGGGGCCCCATGAGTTTTCAGTCTGCCCCTGACCATGACTTGGATATATGAGAACCTTCACAGACATGAACCTGTTTTATAATCTGATAAACCTTGTAACAAATATTTCCTTCTTCTTATTCCCAGAATCTAACAAACGTAGTACTGTAAGCACAAAGGCTAAAAAACAAAAATACCATCAAAAACACATATGGGTTGTGGATTACGGATTGAAACGTTAGAATTGTTTTCGAATCCATTTCAAATTTCAAATTCGGTTGAATTCGAATAAACAAAGCGAATTCAAAAAAATTAATTAAACAAATTTAACTAATCGAACAAAACTAAATTAGTCAAATAATAATCAAACTGAAACAAAACAATTTTTTTAATGTTGCACATGTCTAAGATGTAGTAGATACCAGGGGCGGACTGACCATTTGGAAACTCGGGCACTGCCCGAGGGCCCGGGGTCAGTAGGGGGCCCCATGAGATGCCCCTGGTACATTTTTCATAGGCTTTTTTGAGTTTGGGCAAGGACACAGGGGCCCCATGATCCCCTATTGCCCGGGGGCCCCATGAGTTGTCAGTTCACCCCTGATATAGACTGTTGACAGGATTTACCCCCCTTCCTGACCAGGCCATTTTTTGCATTACGGCCAGGGGTGTATTTACCACAAGGCAAACAAGGCATTTGCCTAGGGCAGCATTTTTCAGGGGGGCAGCACCACCCCCCATGGAAGAAGGGATGGAAGAAGGGACACATGTGGCTTGGGGACCAGATGGGATCTGAGAGAGGCTGTGGGCTGCTTTACTTTCACTCCTGGGGATGTACAGAGCTTTGAGCCCGGGTTCACGTACATGCGATGTGGTATATCGCGTGTGATTCGCACAGGAACTGCACCACATTCTTGTGCAAATCAAATGCGATTTACGTGCGGTGCGATCGGAGCCGTACATTTTGCATGGCTCTAATCGCACCACAGCCGCGCCAAAAAGGTGCAGGACCCTTTTTTTGAGTCCTCACTAGAATCGGACGCATGGGAATTCACACCTATACGATCCGATTCTGCACATTATTATACATTATTATTATTATACAGTATTTATAAAGCGCCAATAGTTCGCTCAGCGCTGTACATTACAAAGGGGGACAGAACATGTGACAGAACAATACCAATACAATGTGATACACGAGAGTTCGAGGGCCCTGCTCCTTGGAGCTTACAATCTAGGAGGGAGGGGATGGTGGTATGGAAGGAAAAGCTGTGGGGGATGGGGTGGTAGGAAGAGTGGAGGAGGTCAGCAATTAGCAGAGGGTGGGTAGGCTTCCCTGAAGAGGTGGGTTTTCAGGGTGTGCCTAAAGGAGAGGAGAGTAGATGATAGTCTGATGGATTGGGGTAGGGAGTTCCAGAGGATAGGTGATGTCCTGGAGAAATCCTGGAGGTGGGCATGGGAGGAGGAGACCAGGGAACTAGAGAGAAGGAGGTCATCACACCGCGTTTTGCAGATCGATTTCGGGGTGTTCTTAACTTAAAACACACCCCCGCAGCAGTTTGTATGAACGGGGTGCGATTCTGATGCGGTGCGGAATTCTCACAGAAAACGCTGCGAATTCCGCACTGCATCAGTGTGAACCGGGTGTCTTTCTCTCTCTCGTGGCCAGTGTATGGGGGTGATGGTAGTGGAAGGTTCTCTCAGGTGGGGGGAGGGGCAATGTCAGGCTCTCTCCGGGGTGGGGGGAGAAGTTTGTGTTGCCTAGGGCAGCACAAAACCTAAATGCACCACTGGTTACGGTGCTGCGTTACGTTTACTGACAATTGCGCCATCATGCAACGCTGTACATGAATTAAATTTAGAGGTTTTTTTTTATTTTTTTGCGCTATTAAAAAAAAAAAAAGACCAACAATTTTGAGGAAAAAAAAAACAATATTTTTGACTTTTTGTTATTAAACATGTCCAGTAAAAAAAAATTTGAAAAATCAAAATAAATTAAGGATAAAATGTATTCTTCTCCATGTCTTTGCTAAAAAAAAATCCCAATCCGTGTAAATTAATTGGTTTACGTGAAAGTTATCGCGCTTACAAATGGTGAATTTTTTTTACTAGTAATTACGGCAATCAGCAACTTATAGGGGGACTGTGGGGGGCATTCTGACACTGGGGGGGGGGGAACTAACTTGGTGTCACTGATATCCTCAGTGACACCAATACAGTGATCAGTGCTAATAAAAAGCACTGACGCTGTACTAATGGCTCTGGGCAGGAAGGGGTTAACATCTGGGGAGACCAAAGGGTTAACTGTGTGTGCTTCACTGTAAGCACACTGCTTTGTATGGCTATGCTATCCACAGCCATACAAAGCAGTGTGCAGGAGCTGACAGGGGAGAGATCTGAGTTGTTTACATACAGTTCTCTCCCCCCATTGGTAATACTTGGCGATCACCGGGTGCCGGCCAGTAATCACCATCCGGGACCTGGTGATTGACAGCTGGGGCTGCAAATAGCAGCGTGGGTAGGGCGCAAGCGGCTCGTGTGCGCCCCCTACCTGGGCATACAAAATCACATATATGTACATGATTTTGCGCACCCCGTCCACCCTGTAGCAGTATATCTGCTATAGGGTGGCAGGAAAGCGGTTATCATTATTATTATTATATTTATAAACATGAAATAAAAAATTAAAACAGAACCAGGGGCGGACTGACCATTTGGAATCTTGGGCATTGGAGGGCCCGGGGTCAGTAGGGGGCCCCATGAGATGGCCCTGGTACCTTTTTCATAGGCTTTTTTGAGTTTGGGCAAGGACACAGGGGCCCCATGATCCCCTATTGCCCGGGGGGGCCCCATGAGTTGTCAGTCCGCCCCTGAACAGAACATTTTTCTCTGGATGTTTCTTTTATCAAAGCAACTTTGGCGCCATCGTTTTGGGCGCAGGATGGTTTTAGCACACTCACCTGGCTATGTGGACCAAAGAGCGCTTGCCATTGTGAGCTTTATGATGGATACTCCCCCCCCAAGGCCACGTATTGTTGTGTATGGACCGATACACGGGTCCTCACGACCACCATGTGCAGCAAAATCCGGAGGGGCGGACGGGATATTTGGAGTTTGCTCACCTTTTCATTTTTCATGGAAAGGCAAACTTACTCTTTAGAGTGATTCCAGGAGGACATGACTCAGGACACAGCATTGCTGGAGCAGAAATGTCCGGACATCCATTCTGTTCCACTGGCAACAAGGAGGGGGATTCCCCTCATTTAGATAGACTTCCTGCTGCATTCCAAGCACAGTAGGTGAAAGGAACCGTACCTAAAAGGAAACAGAAAGCAAAAATATTAACCTGAAAGGGGGGGGGTGATCCTTCCCTGATCGGAAAAAATACTATACAGGCGTACTTCGTTTACGAACGCCTCGATTAACGTAATTTTCGGTTTACGAATGAAAATCCTTTGAAAATATCTCCTCGGTTTACGAATTTTTTTTCCCAATACGAACGGATTAATTGGTTTTCAATGCATTTACAATTTTTTTTTAATCATGTCCCTGTACAGTATTTATGCCTTTAAAGTGCACTTTATAAAGAGTTTTGAACACATAAAATAGTTTTTTAAAAACTTTTCTGACCTCCAGAACGGATTAATTGGTTTTCAATGCATTCCTATGGGAAACTGCGTTTCGGTTTACAAATTTTGCACAATACAAAAAGTCACGCAAAATGAACTAAATTCGTAAACCGAGGTACGCCTGTACATACTTGTGAACACAAAAATAGTGGAGGAAAGGAAAGAGAAAGAAATAGAAGAGAAGTGAAGGAAAGGTGAAGGGAAAGGGAAGGGAAGGAAGAAAAGAGGAAGGGGAAGGCAAAAGAAAGGGAGGGGAAGGGGAGGGGAAGGGAAGGGAAGGGAAAGGGGAAGAGAAAGGAAGGGAAGGAAAGGGGAAGGGAAGGAGAAGGAAAGGGAAGGGGAAGAAAAGAGGAAGGGGAAGGCAAAAGAAAGAAAGGAAAGGGGAAGGGGAAGGGAAAGGAAGGAAAGGAAAGGGGAAAGGAAGGGAAGGAAAGGGGGAGGGAAGGAAAAAGGGGAAGGGGGAGAAGGGAAAGGAAGGAAAGGAAAGGGGAAAGGAAGGGAAGGAAGGGGAAGGGAATGAAAGGGAAGGGGAAGGGGAGGGGAAGGGAAAGGAAAGGAATGGAAGGAAAGGGGGAGGGAAGGAAAAGGAATGGAAAGGGAAAGAAAGGGGAAGAGAAGGAAAGGGGAAGGGAAAGGAAAGGTGAAGGGAAGGAAGGGGAAGGAAAGGAAAGGTGAAGGGAAGGAAGGGGAAGGAAAGGAAAGGTGAAGGGAAGGAAGGGGAAGGGAAGGAAAGGGGAAGGGAAGAGGAAAGGGTAGGGAATGGGAATGGAAAGGGAAAGGGAAGGTTGTTCTGTTGAAAAATAACAGACTTACTGGCTAGATCACCAGCTGAAAATAAAGGAAAGAAAGTCTAAAAAAAGAAAACAAATGCAGCTATCAAATCTAGGAATTGGTAAGCTGCAATATAATAAATATTTGTTTTTGTGTCTAATACTGCTTTAACCTGATGATACCACTAAACTGAATATGCCTCTTAATCCAACTTGTTAACCTGATATATATGTCGTGCAAAATAAAGAAATACTTTACATATTTTATGTCTCCTCACCTTCTCTTTTAACCCTGAAAAATCTGGCCCACCGCAACCACATTGCACACGGTTGCAGGACGGTTGCGGAATGACCCCATTTGCTTTCAGGATCAAGTTTGGTGGCAGCACCGCCCACCAACTATGACACGTCCTTTTTGCTGCGGCATGTGTACAGCTCTGAGTGGCTCCGTGGCCTTGTTTAGGTGGGCAGTCAGGGGGCTGTATAGCCACAGCTCAGTCGCCTGCTTATACTGTCCCCTGGCTGCATGTCTGGACGAGTCCCTAAAGGCACCAAATTTTCAGGTACAAAGTCTGCAGGGGTGGAATAAGGTTCAGTCCTAAAACATTGTCATCCACCTCCACCTACACAGGGCTCCTCCCAGACACTGATATCTGTTATCTGTGTGCCGTCATTTCTGTGTATGTGAACCTTGTACCTTCTACACACTTTATATTACATTTCTATGGGAAGGTTGGACCATTCTTCCAGAAGCACATTTGTCAGGTCAGGCACTGATGTCGGGGGAGGAGGCCTGGCTCGCAGTCTCTGCTCTAATTCATCCCAAAGGTGTTCTATGGGGTTGAGGTCAGGACTCTGTGCAGGACAGTCAAGTTCCTCCACCCCAAACTGGCTCCTCCATGTCTTTATGGACCTTGCTTTGTGCATTGGTGTGCAGTCATGTTGGAACAGGAAGGGGCCATCCCCAAACTCTTTCCACAAAGTTGGGAGCATGAAATTGTCCAAAATGTCTTGGTATGCTGACGCCTTATGAGTTCCCTTCACTGGAACTAGGGGGCCAAGCCTATCCCCTGAAAAACAACCCCACACCATAATCCCTCCTCCACTAAACATTACACTTGACACCGTTCTCCTGGCAACTGCCAAACCCAGATACGTCCATCCGATTGCCAGACAGAGAAGCGTGATTGGCTTGGATGCAGCTGCTCGGCCATGGAAACCCATTCCATGGAGCTCTCTACGCACTGTTGTTGGGCTCATCTGAAGGCCACACCAAGTTTGGAGGTCTTTAGCTATTGACTCTGCAGACAGTTGGTGACTTCTGCGCACTGTGCGCTTCAGCATGCGCTGACCCCGCCCTGTCATGTGACGTGGCCTACCACTTGGTGGCTGAGTGGCTGTTGTTCCCAGTTGCTTCCACTTTGTTATAATCCCACTAACAGTTGAGCGTGGAATATTTAGTAGCCAGGAAATGTCACGGATGGACTTATTGCACAGGTGACCACCTATCACGGACCACGCTTGGAGTCACTGAGCTCCTGGGAGCGACCCATTCTTTCACCAATGTTTGTAGAAGCAGTCTGCATGCCTAGGGGCTTGATTGTATACACCTGTGTGTCCATGGAGGGGATTGGAACACCTGAATCACATGATTTGGAGGGGATCGGAATACCTGAATCACATGATTTGGAGGGGATTGGAATACCTGAATCACATGATTTGGAGGGGGGCCCAATACTTTGGGCAATATAGTGTACTTTGTAAAATTCTACACATATACATTCCCTAATGCTATTGACATGCTGCAATTAAAATAGAACTAAAGGCAAAACTTTTTTTTCTCATTTTGGATAGCATAAGGCAGGGACCCTTGTCATTTTTTGCCATGTGTTTCCCATTGGGGAGATTTCACTTCACCTAAAAAAAAATAATGAAGTCCCCAATAAAAAGACAGCATGAAGAACACATAGTATGTCACAGTAATACTTTCTGCCCCCCCCCCCCAATGGTGTCCTCTGCCCCCTTTCACATCACCAGTAATGTACACTGCCCCCACACACACAGTAGTGTCCAGTGCTTCACCCCCCCTCCCACATGGTAGTGTCCTATTATTATTTATTTATTTCTGGTACTTATAGCGCCATCAATTTACACAGCGCTTTACATATATATTGTACATTCACATCAGTCCCTAACCCTCAAGGGGCGACAATCTAAGGTCCCTAACCCACAAGGGGCGTCCAATCTAAGGTCCCTAACCCTCAAGGGGCGTACAATCTAAGGGCCCTAACCCACAAGGGGCGTCCAATCTAAGGTCCCTAACCCTCAAGGGGCGTACAATCTAAGGGCCCTAACCCTCAAGGGGCGTCCAATCTAAGGTCCCTAACCCTCAAGGGGCGTCCAATCTAAGGTCCCTAACCCTCAAGGGGCGTCCAATCTAAGGGCCCTAACCCTCAAGGGGCGTACAATCTAAGGGCCCTAACTCACATTCATACATACACATACTAGGGACAACTTAGACAGGAGCCAATTCACCTACCAGCATGTCTTTGGAGTGTGGGAGGAAACCGGAGTACCTGGAGGAAACCCACATGGCACAGGGAGAACATGCAAACTCCAGGCAGGTGGTGCAGTGGTTGGGATTGGAACCAATGATCCTAGGACTGCCAGGCAGAAGTGTTAACCATTAAGCCACTATGCTACATGGTAGTGTCCTCTGCCCCCACCCCCACACAAAGTAGTATCCTCTGCCCCCCCTCCCCACAGTGGTGTCTTCTACTCCCCCACACATGGCAGTGTCTTCTGCCCCTTCCCCCCCTCCCCCGCAATAGTGTCCTCTGCCCCCACCCAAAGTAGTGTCCTCTACCCCCCCCCCCCCCCCCAA